CCCCGTACCATCCCCGGGTGTAGTATGTCCAGGAATATTTCGCAGGAAAAACAGAGCTCTTGTAAAAACTGTACGGAAATTTCGTGGCTTTTTTTTTCTTGGTTTCTTTTTTCCTTTTCGGTTGAACGATAAAATAGAAACTGAAAAAAAAGAAAAGAAAAGGATTTTTTTCGGAAGTCCGGTTATAATAATCGTTTATCATCGGAATAACGCGTTTTATCTCGCGTCGTTTTCTCTTTACTCGATGTACCTTAAATGAAAGAAAGAGTATGTGTGAATACTTATACGTGTGTGTATGTGCACGCGTGCAAGCAAGCAAGTAACCAGAACATAAAACTCGAGATATTTCGTTCGTGCCGAATTCACGCGAGAGTTACTTTAAAACGTAACTTTGGATTCGCTTTTGCGTTTATACATTTACGTATGTTCCTATCAACCTCGTAAAAATTTAATTGGCTTTCATGAAAATCGTCGTCGATGTTAGCTGTGGGTGCAGAACGTGTGGTTTTTTTTCAAGTTTCTTCGATGTTAACTCGAACCGAGGTGAACACGGGGAAGGGAAGGGACAGGTTAAAAAGAAATTCCTATCGAAAGATTTTCTTCTCTCTCTTCCTTTCTTTCTTTCTTTCCTCCTTTTTCTAACCAAGCTCTTTCGATGTCTTTTCTTTTTTTTTCCTTACGTTCCTACGAAACCGTACAAAGTCCCCCCAGTGATATTGGTGTTCGATAACCCACTGATAAACGTAATCCCATAAGAAGGTGACGTTAAATCGTAACAGAAAGATGGTTCACCCATAGACCGAGAATGAGAGGAAAGAGAGGGGGTGGGAGGAGGAGGAGGAGGAGGAATGAGAACTCACAGGTAGATGGCACCGTCCATGTCGAATTGAATTTTCTACGGTGTTGTACGCAGAAGAGATATGCGGCTTACGCATGCGTTTTATGCATGTGTGTTGTTACGCATCGAAAAACGGTCTCTTTGCTATACTATATTCCTATACGAGTTGAAGAAAGGTGCATGTATATATCAGTACGCGTGTGTGTATGCGTGTATATATATGTGAGAGAGAGAGAGAGAGAAAGAGAGATATAGAAAGAGAAGAGGGATCAGGTCAACAGCCTTCGACAACCTTACGGCCTTCCCTTCTTCGGCTCGATCGAGCTTCGATCAGCGGGATCTCTTTGGGGTTGGGAAATCGAAGTCCCTCCTATACTGACAATTTTCTCGTAATATTTAACATTTAATGAAATAATTAATCATCGTATATTTATAATATATTTAATATCTCTCAGAGAGATGAGATGAGATGAAAGAATTAGTTGAAATCCCAGATGTATACCGAATTATTGATATTTTTAATTGGTAATATTAAATTTAACAATCCCTTATCGAGTGAACACAATGTTATGTTCATTGAGGAACAAATAGATATAATATTATAGAGAGAATTATTAATATTTTTTTATTGATAATAATTATTAATCTTGTAACGTGTAATGGTTGTGGTGGTGGTGGTTGGCATTCATTGAGAAACAAAATAAAAATGAAATTATTTTTGAAAACAAAAAATCAAATATGTAATACACGAACGTTCGCGAGGGTCCTAATAGGGGGTCTACAAGTTTGTACTAATTCTAGGTAATTTATTAGAGGAACGAACTTTTAGTACAACGAGTATCAGCGGGGGAAAGCCTGTTTAATCTCTCTTTAATACGAGCAACCGGGAAAGGCCCCCTCAATATCGTATCACGGATCAATTTTAACCTGAGGAATAAATAACGATATATAGTTCGCTTGTTATTATGTTATAACCAACGATTTTCCTATAAACTTTAAAGCCTTAACCGTAAAAGGATATTTCACGATTTTCTACCTAAATTTAACCATTGTTTTCTAAAATCCATTAATAATGAGATTAGTGATTCCTCGAGTATATTTACCGTTGTTCCTTGTAAACCGGAAAATGTTATGCGAATTGCTAATCGCATTTTCTAATAACATTTCTCTTTTCAATTCCAGCACGATCCTCTCATTCAAGAATTTACCCCTTTTACTATTATTATTATTATTATTATTATCATCATTATTATTGGACAAACGTTGGAAATGTAAAAAATCATTCACAAATGTCGTATAATACACGTTTATTGTTTTTTTAAATTAATATTTTAAAAATAAACTCACACACACCGCGAAAGAAATGAAATCAAAACGAATAAATAATATTTGTCGCAGTAATAATGGATTCATCGTCATTAGAATAAAAAGAAAAAAGAAAAGAAGAAAGGAAGGAAATAAAAAACAAATTCATTGGGCTTAAACCCCCTACTTTCTCTGTTTCTCCTTTTTTTCTTTTTCATTTTATTTCATTGTCATGTATACCTTTCCCTCTTAATGACTTGAAAAGGCACGCGAAAACCATTTTCAGGTCCGCCTCCTCCCCTTTCTCTCCCACGAGGGTGAAAGTTCGTGTTGCGTTGGCATTGTTCATCGTGTGGTGGGTTATATATTCGAGAAAGAAAGAAAGAAAGAAAGCAAGCAAGCAAAGCCATGGGTACCACCACCAGCCCTCCTGACTTTCCCTATAATCGCACGAGATTTTCGTAAATCGATGGGATGGGGGGGCATACCGAAAACCGACATGGTTTATGGCTAATTTGAGGAGTGGCTTCCTGACGATGGGCTACATCTGTCGGATATATTATGGGGATTCGAATTGATTACCTATGGAAACAAAAAGAGAAAGAGGACAAGAGGAGGAGGAAGTGGAGGAAGGCCAGGTGTGGGGTGGGCGAATAATGGTGGTGTGGGAGGGCGAAGGGGGGGCTGGGTACCCAATAAAAGTTACAATGCGAACAATACGTATTTATACGATCGCGCGAACGCATTCTCTTTGTTGTGTATTCACTATACTCGAAACTATATCGAATTACAGTGAAACGAAGAGAGAAGAGTAGAAATGACCCGAACGATAAATTACATTTTGTTTCGATTCCGTTCGATGATATTTAGTTATACCTATGTACACGTGTTAAAACACTATTTTCATACACGTAATCCTAAAAAGTTTAATAAAGAATATAACCTTTAACCGAGATAACTTTGGATCGAAGGGATCATATTATAATCCAACAAGCTGAAAATTATTTAACTTTTATTTTTTTTTGTCCCCTCAATGATTTTTATTTAAGTAAATATCATTCTTAATTTTTTTCTTTTGTTTTTATATAAACGCACCAAACAAATATATTATTATTAAATTTTAAATATTATATTATATTTGGCGTGTATTTAACGTAAAAAAATAATGAATTGAAATGTGATCTTGACAATAATCGGGATTCTATGGATATCCGACGTAATCAATTATACCCTTACTTACTTAGATACGTCACCAGTTAAAAGGTTATTCAAATTGATGAGAGATGCTCTTTCTATCTTCCTCTCTTTCTCTCTCCCTCCCTCCCTCTCTCTCACCCTCTTCCAATAGTTACTTTTCTCCTTTCGCGTTTTACATCCATCTTTCGAGACTAGTAGCAACAAAAAAAAAATATAGGAAAACATAGAGAATAGAGGTATTAAAAGTTTCCTTTTGTTTTTTCTCTGTTGTAGCTTTGGAAAGCGAACGGGCAGTGCCAGGAGACCCAACGAATGTTTCGTCTTGGAACCCTCCGAGATGATCGTCGTAAGTATATTCTTTTTCTTTCTTTGTATGTATGTGTGTGTGTATTATATTTTTTTCTCAGTTTCAAAAGAATGAACATTGCTAAATTTTGCTTTCTTCTTCTACGGTAAAAATGGGAAATAGATGGGGAGGAAAAAACCAAAAGAAAAAGAAAAAAAAATAGAAAAGAAAGATGGTGGGTAGGATAATATATTTGGTCGCGAGCCAGGTTATTATTTTAAGAGTCACGGATATACGAAATGTCGTCCCACGATAATTGAAATCGATTTCTTTCTTCTAGTTTTTTTTTTACGTCGTTAGATAAAATATATGTACATATATATATATATATATATATATATATATGTGTGTGTGTATATATTTACTTGGATATATGTTTTAAAAATAAGTAGGGGGAAAATGTAACTTGCGTTGTTTACTTACCACAAACATTTCTTATCGATATGATAGAATTTATTTTCTCTATTTCTCTCTCTCACACATACACACACAGACACACACATACATACACATACACTCACTCCTTTTCACTCTCTCTCTTTTTTCTTTTTCTTTCTGTCTCTACTTTCTAGATCACATCGGTTATAATATCTAAAAAAATATTAATGTACAGGTGTTTCTTTCTGCGAAACTGAGAAAACGATGCACATTTTCACGACATTAGCGAACAAGAAGACGGCAAGTGACGATATCGCATATCGAAAGACAATGTCGGCCAGACTCGAGATGTAACGCGTTAGAGACAGTTAATCGATAGTTTGTCTCCTGGTTATATTCTCGCCGTAAGCTTTTCAAACTGGGAAGAACCATCTCAACTCTTTTTTTTTTTCTTTTTTTTAACGAGATACCGTTAATATGGAGTCATTATTTAAATAACGCATGGCAAAATTCAAGATCAAGCTAACGTCAAACAAAGATCTCTTCTTTTTCTTTTTTTTTCTATATCATTTAATTGAATATTAATTTTTTTTCTATTTAAATTGTTCAATTTCTGTTGTTTCTTTTCATTTTATTCGCAAACAATCTTTTTTTTTTTCTTCTTTTTCTTTTTTTTTCAATGATTCTGTTTAAACGTACGGTTAAAATACAAATAAAAATTTGTAGCTTTCGTCGAAATTTATTTCCGCGTGAGTATTATTCAAGATTGAGAGAGTTAAACATAAGAAAAGGAGATAAAGAAGAAGGTAGTGGACACGTTCGTTAAAGTTTCATTACGATTTAGAATTTCAAGTGATATTTAAATGTTTACGTTACTATACTGAAATCGAAATCTATAGGATTATTATGCAAATAGCTTTTTGTGTTATTCGCCTAATCGCATTAATTGGGCACACACAATTACGAAACATTCTATGGTGGTATTTTATACTATTCCCATATTGTGCTGCCACCTTCGAGAAGAAAACTACTTTATCGACGGTACGACATACTTCTCTTGCGAATATATCATAAACAATTAATTCCTTTATTTTAATTTAAGGAAAATTACCAATTATTATCGAGAATGTTAGGTGCTTTCAAATACCAGTAGGCTGTATAATATTTTTGAAATTTTTCTCAAAAAATGAGAAGAAAATCTAATTTTGCGATTTGTTTGACTGTTTGATATTCGCCGCCATGACAGTGCGAATAAATACATTCACAATAATATATTTCAATACAATTTAATGTTATTATTTTATATTTGTAAAATTATTATTATTATTATTATTATTATTATTTATTTTAATGTAATGCAATATCTAACATAAGCGTGGGCAGGAAGCCTACCAAAATACGTTTCCTTGATTACATATAATTAACGTTTAATGTATTTTTTTCTATGATATAGATCTACATAAATGCACGAATACCAAGCGTGCACAGATTGATGCATATAAAAATATGCATTAGTAAAATGCATAGAATAATAGGATATATATATATATATATGCGTGTTTATAATTGTGGCGCCTCTCATTTCAGTATAGAAAATGAATCATAAACGTAGTTGCATATCCTTGTTCCGGCGTGATCCGTGTTATCGGGTGACAACCCACGATTGATAAAACGTTCCAAACTAATCAATAAAAATGACCGTCTAAATGAGTCAGCAAGCAAGCAAGCAAGCAAGCAAGCCCCGATTTCTTCTGGTTACGCGTGCATTTCTCTTTTTTTTTCTTTTTTTTCTTCTGATAGCAAAGGCGCCAAAGACGAAGTCGTGTTCTGATATCGAACTACGTGCTCGAAATAAGATGACCGAGAATAATGAGAAATAAATTCAATGACATAGAATCAAGTTTTACTCTTTGTTATATATTATTTATATACTCTTACTTAGTATTATGCAATTATTTCTCTGTCACTGTTTGGTATTATGCTTACGTAGATAAGTAGTGACTTCTTATGTATGTCTCTTTAATTTTTATTCGACTTATCTCCCCTCGCACGTTTCTCGCGTCGGTTTCTTACTTTACAAGCTATGATAATTTATTTAAATCTGTCTATTATATTTGATGAATACCACCAGGTATCTTGTTTACTACATTTTACAATAATTGGCACGAGTTATACAGAAACATCATGATGATCTTCAAATTAACTAGAAAATTTGTTTCAAAAATACGAATCCAATTATTTTGCTAAAAAAAAAAACACATATTATCGAGACATAATTTTATTTTAAGAATATAACTATAATACAATAAATTTAATGAATATTTTGTTGTTCTCAATGAAATTATCTCGAGGATTTGCGAAAATTTTGCACAATTTGACCTAATTATAATTTTATCTTATTTTACGGAATAATTCGAAAAGATTTATCCACATTGTAAATCATGTTACACATAATGTCACATCTCCCGTATAAATACATATTACTTGTTTGTCTAAATCTTTTTGTTTGTGTGTAGAAAGAAATAAAACGTTTATATAAATTCACGTTCTAAAAACAACAAAGTAACTGCTCGGTAGACGGTCGTTTATATTTAAAGCGACGCGACAGGTAACAACGAATCAAGGCTAACTTTGCAACAGTTAAATGTTTCCTCTCTCGAGTTCATGTCAAATTATACAATGTGAAACGAAACTTGTGACGATGCGAATTGACACAAATTTTCAAACTTACTTTTTTTATTTATACGAACAAATAATTTTTCTTTCCACATATTTCATTGAATTTTTTGTATCCAGAATAATAGATCATTGCTTGTGTTCGTATTATCCAGTTACAGAACTGAAAAAAAAACACAAGAAATATGTGAAAGAATAAGTGAGAAGAAAAGATATGGGGGAAAAAGAATATATATAATACCGTTTGTCACAAGAGTTACTTCATCCAAGCAAAAGGTTCCTCCGTGCACACGCCCTCCGGCAGCTTTGTGACCTGCTATGAATTTAACGCCCTGACCTTTAACCTTACTCCAACACCCTCCCGTTTCTCTCAGCCCTTTAGTGGTTCACCTTCGCTACGATGGGAGGGGAGGGGGGAGGGTACGTTTATTTCGACTTAAGCTTCAAATTGGTGTAAATCATTTCAAAAAGCCACGGACCAATCTCGAATATCATATCGTATGTCAAAACCCATAATAATATCGTTCAACGAGTAAAATTTATGACGCGGTCGCGGTAATTTGGCCGGAAACGGTAAAGGAATAATGGGGGATGAGAAGAGAGACAGAGAGAGAGAGAGAAGAAAAAAATGATCAAAGGAACGACGACGAACACCGCGACGTGACAAAACGAACAAAAAAGGGACGAGCAAAAAAACGAGATCGATAGGGTGTGGGGGGTATTGTGGGGGGGATTTGTAGTGTCGTAACTTCGATCAAACTATAATGCAATTCTTGAATACCAAAGTCTCGCCATTTTGGAATTGATATACGAGAGAAACGTTAGGTAAGATCGAAAAGCCAATAGCATCGTTGAATAATCTTTATTTCGATCGTAAAAACTGAATCGAATTCTTACGAGTAAGCAGTATACTTTTCCCATTAGCCAAGTGTGTTTGTATAATAAGCGAATTGCATACACACACATACACATACACACGCCCGCACATTGTTCGCTTATATATATATTTTATCGTAGGTTTAGCTTTCACGGTGATTAGAATAGAGATAGATAGTAAAACTCGTTTAATGACGTTGACACTCGATCTGGGTGGACCATTATCCGTTAACCACCAAATGATGTTTCTCACGAGTAGAATTATTTCGATAGAATTGAAGGGTTGAAAGAATGATAAGTTAGTAATTAGTTCATATTATAATACAATAACACACGTTAGCGTATAATTTATAATCGAGTTATATTCGTTTTCCTAATTTTTATTAATATAACATCATTTCAAAGTTTCTTTATTCTCTTGTTCTTTCATCTTGGGTGTTCCTTTTGCTTTTATGTTAGATTCTACTCGAAGAAAAGTAGAAATACTAGAGCATCGAGTGACGCTCGCAGGATGCGGGCATATAATTATTCTATAACCATTTTATTCGAGTTCCTTCAACACATCATATGAATAAGAAAGCAAGTACAACCATGTATAGTTAATATATATAAGCAAGAAACTTATCAGACCCAAGGAAATAGACACCAGGCGTCTTTAAATACGTCATCGTCTGGCAAACCTCATCGGACCAATGACGTTTATCGAGCATGTATCATCGTTTACTTTCTGCTTCTTGGATACACCAAGTTTTTTTCCCCTCTCTTCCAACCATTCAACAAAATAATATTCCATTTTATTTATTTACGAATATATAAACGAATTGTGTGCTTCGTCGATTTTTCTAGATGACAAGATATCATTTCTCTCCCCCTTCCCCCAATTAAAAATTCCGTGTCCTCGTTGTAAAATAATATATCTCTTGCGTTTCTTTAAAAAAAAAAAAAAATTTCTTTTAAAAAAAAATCTACGATCATTATTCTATCGAAAAATGTAACAAACGCGTATTTATATAAAATTGTTGGGAAAAGTAACACGCGTATATGCACGAGACACTATTTGGCTATTTACA